ACATTTTGAGATTATATCTCCAATCATTTTGACAAGTTTTAATTTCATTAAATTGAAAGATTTACATAGAACTTCAGTTGACACTTACTCTAAACTTTTAACTTAATTATTCTTTAATACTTATTTTATCTCTATTGAGCTATTTTCTATCTATCACTTTAAAGTGGAAGTTTATTTATTTTATGCGTAAGTAGACCATATGAGAACTCAGCATTTAATTTTAAACTTTATAGGCGGAACTAAGATCAAACGAATTCCTTTTGAGATAAGTAATATTTCTCCTCGAAAGAGCAGTTGCTAACTATAAATAGACTCCAAAGTATTTATATTATCAATCTCAAAAACGCAAAAAGGTTATGAAGCATTTTCGGTTTTTATGATATACTAGGTAAATTGAAAATGCTACCTACTTACTTCGTGGCATTACAACCCTTCTTGTATTTTAGCTGACTTTACAATGTTTTCTCCATTCCTCTCTGTCTTCTCCAATTCTCCACGCCCATATCTTTAAGGTCTCCTGCTGGCCTTTTCTACTTGGGACTTTTCCACATATCAACCTTACTATTCTTTCTTTGGAATATCTTATCCTGCCCACTGGAGTCTTCTGGACTATTTCTTTTATTATTATGTATATAGTTATTCGACCTCCTTGTTAGTTCTTATCCTATGTTGTCGTACTAATCTATCAATCACAGGCCCAAAGATCCTTAAGTTTTTTTTTTCACAAACACGTAGTCGCTCTTCGTTTGCCTTTGTTATGGTCCACATTTTGCTACCATAATTGACTACGGGTCGTATGACTGCTTTATATAGTTGTATATCTTTGTATGTGTTGTTATTTGTTTCAATTTTATAAGGTTTTGAAGGCACAAAGACATCTATTACCAGCTTGTATCCTGTTGTTTATGTTTTCTGTCGATATTTATTTATTTTTGTATTTAATTTAATGTGCCGCTGCTACGTTTTCGTCTTTCTTCTACAAGTTTAACAGTCTCTACAGCGATTCAAAATTTTTTCCTTTCTATTTTTTCTTTGAGGTTTGAGTTATTACTAGCTTCAATAATCCCACAAATTGGTATTTGAAAAATACCGTTTTGTGTTCTAATATTTTTATTTAAAATTTTAAATGTATTTTTTAATATTTTTAACATGTTTGTGACAGTTTTCTTCACCACAAGGACCAACTGAACATTTATATAGCATAAAATTAGGGTACCACGTAATTTGAAATTATTTTAGAAATTATTATCCTTTTGTACTATTTTCGGTTGCATAATAGTTTACTAAGGGATTGCTTGAAAACAATTGTCACTGTTGCTTTTCGAGATAAAAAGGGCCCCTTACAATGGTTCCTAAAAATCATGAACAGCATAGTTATTGTTTTTGTGCTTTTAACGTTAATTGTAAACTGTTTGTGTAGTGTTATAGCTGCAAGTGTAATGCGATGAGCAGAAGTTCTGTTGTGGCGTGTTAGAAGTTGACCACGGTCAGACCGAAATTGCGAGAAACGTTGGTGTAGATCTCTCGAGTCTTCAACGAATATGAAGACGGTACAAAAAGAGCGGTCTGCTTATTCGAAGATCTGGTTCAGGTCAGGACAGAATTATAATAGCTAGAGATTGTTCCCATGCCGTTTCTAGTGCTTGAAGAAACCAAACGGTCATGGAAGTTTCCTTCGAAATCATCTGCAATAATTAAAAAATGTACACGTAAATGAGTAGATAGTTGGTTCTCCGTAACCACCGAACTGCTAGATTGAAATTTGCACAAGAACACTTGGTTTGGATAATAAAGGATTTTAGTAGTATATTGTTTTCCTATACATCGAGACTCGGTCTTACAGGCTCAGGCAAACGTGTAAGAGTGTGCCGACGTCCAGGAGAGTGACATGCTTAAGAATGTGTTGCCGAGCGACTTCCATTTGGTCGCGGGATCCAGGGCTAGATATCTCTTCCGAGAGCTCTTCTTGACATATTGGTGGCAGGAATAGAACAATATTTCCCAGAATGTGATCCAAAATCTGATCCAAAGCTTGCCTGGTTGTTTGCAAGCTGATACCACTATCAGAAAAGAGAACACTCCTTACTGGAGTTCTTAAAATTTTTTTTTGTTTAAACAACAAAAAGCATATCAAATTAAATTTTTCCCTTTTCGATATTTACTACATCAAAGTAAAATTTTTCATTTTCATCAATTTTAATAAAGATTAAACAATAAAAACTTCGTTTTCTTTAGGTAATCCGTTAGTAAACTATGTTACAACCGAAAATAGTTAAAAAAATAATAATTTCTAAAATAAATTAAAATTACCTAACCCTGATTTGTTTGTTGGTCGGTCATAAATAAAAGACTTAGTTATTACTTAAACTTTTGGCTATTTACCATTTTCAATAAGCACTTTATTTATATAAACATTACATAACACACTTTTTTATTTATCTGCCCTTTTTCCTGGATTGCTATGGAACGAAAAAGAGATATTCGACAGTAAAGCCACATGGCACCTACTTTAAAACTAACGACAGGTTTAAGATCGGATTTAAAATATCTGACACTGTTGCATTATGATAGCTTTTAGGGAGATCCTTTATATCGATCTTATTTTTAATATATTTTGATCATTCTTTATGTAAATTATCTAGAATATAACGCTTTATGTTCAATGTAATATAACTAAATGTTCAAAATTAAAAAGATATATTGTTTAATTAGTTCGTTTGAATACTACGTTTATGAATCACAACCCCTCTATGTGGATATTGGTGTGTTTGTCCAATATATGTTAAGTTGAAGTGCTTTTGACGATTTATGTCCAACATTAATGTCATATTTTGCCAACATTTTCGACACTTGTTCAGAAAATCCGTTAATGTATGATACAAATATTACAAGAAACTTATCTAAGGTTATATTCAGCAATATTCCTTAGGCTCTAATACATTATAGTACTACTAGCTAACTTATAGCACTAACGCAAACGGCTTCGTTCTCTTAAGTCTTCTTATCTGGTTGGCGCTGTCGAGGAGTTTGATGGCCTCGACATTCACGTGGTTGGAGAGCCTTTGTTCATGACTCTCGGCAAACTTACTTATTGTCTGGATAACCGTATTCATCTGGAGGTCTCGATGAAGATCACAGTTTCTGAAGTACCATGGAGCGTTAACGATGTTCCTTAATACTTTATTCTGATATCGTTGTATATGTTGGATATTACCTTCTTTCTTTTGTACAGTCCCAAAGCTGTATTCCGTATGTCCATATCGGTTTAAGGACTTGCTTATACAATAACAATTTGTTATAAGTAGGCAGAGTGGATTTTTTCCCCATCAACCAGTACATCTTTCTGAACTTAATTTCCAATTCCTCCTTTTTTAACTCGTTGTTGTTCTTTTTTGTTAGTTAAATTGACATGAACAGATTTTGTTACATTCATTTGATACGCCATCGGCTGGTCCATGCTCTAAACCCAAACTGATGATTAGGAATTAGATTTTTTTTCTCTTTAATTTTTAGTCTCTTCAAGAGTAATTTTTCGTATAATTTAGACATGACAGGTAACAGTGAAATGGGCCTATATAAAGAAGCTTCTTGTGGATGTTTTCCTGGTTTTAGTTTCATTATAATTTCTGCCACCTTACATATCTTTGGTACGTACCTCAGCCTAAAGGAAGCGTTTAAAAGATGTATTAATTTTATAATAGCTTTCCTTGGAAGTTGCTTTAACACTTCCCCAGTAATTAGATCAAATCCAGGAGCTTTCTTTAAAATTTTCTTTTATTTCCAAATATACTTCTTCTGGGGGCCCTACAAGGCTAATCTCCATTTCATCTTGATCAGGGAGCTCGCAGTTTATTATTTCTTGTTCTTCATTTGGTTGAAAAGTATTTTCTAGGTGGTCAGCAAACCTGTTGGTTTTTGGTATATTGCTTCTTGTCCAGCTACCATTAGTATTTCTAATTAGTGGATTCTGTAAGATTTGCCTTTTTAATCGTTTAGTAGCCTTCCACAAAGAGTAATCAGTAGCGCTATCATTTGGTAGTTCACTTAGGTAGATGTTAACAGATTCGTTTTTAATTTTTTAAATTTTTTTTTTTAATTTTTGTGTGGCATTATTTAATCTAGTTTTATCAACTGGTTCTTTAGACTGACGCCACTTGCGTCTTAGTTTTCTATTTTCGGTTATCATTTCTCTGATTTCTTTCGGGTAGTTATTTCCTTTTATTATTTCGACACTGTTCGTGCTATTGTTCCAAGCAGCTTGTTGTATATTTTTATTGACTAATTATACTTCTGCTTCTAGTTGATCAATGGTTCTTAATGGAACTGAGAGGTTAATCTTCTCTTCAAGGTCTATCTGGAAACTTCTCCAGTCAGTATTTTTGTTAACAAGTCTAGGGGGGCTTTCTTTTTTGATAACAGTGTCACGGAGTGTGAGAATAATTGGAGAATGGTCCGAGTTCATATCCATCTCTTCTATCCCTATATAATTTGTAGAAATATTTCTGACTACAAAGAAGTCGATAAGGTCTGGAATTTTATTTGTGTCAGTAAGCCAGTATGTTGACTTTCCCGTTGATACTGCGTCGCATTTTATGTATTTCATTGCTTCTAAAAATTCTTTTCCTTTGGTTGTAGTCAGTCGTGACTTCCAATGCGTATGTTAATGTGTAATATATGTAGTAATATTTTAAGTTAGTAATATTACTACAATTATTAGTTTGGGATTGTCAGTATTGATATTGGAGTAAGATTGATTTCTGATAATGCACCTTTTTTTTTAATAAGGCAATTGTAAAATTCTGGTGGATAATTCTTTTTTCTAAGATATTACTAACTTTTTTCATACCATGTTGAGTGTAGCTGTATGACTAGAAGTCTATGCCAAAAAAAAAGCTTTTTTCAGATTTTTGGAATGGGATAGGTAGCTTATTTTAATATTTAGATATAACAGAACTCAATAATATATGAATTGCTTAAGAAAGAAAAAATATTTATAACTTATTTATTTATTTCTCCACCTTTTTTCCAGCTGTTGAAAATTATTAAAAAATAACATATCAATACTTGGTTCCATTGCTCAACGGGCTACCTAACCTAGATTGTTGTTTTTTCACCTTCGCTATCCATTCTTAAAGGGATCTAAAAAATAAATTTTTATTAAATATTTTTTCAAAATAAATATAAATAAAATTTTTGATTTTCTGCTATATACTACCACTTATCCATAATCTACAAGATTTGTTGATGATAATCAATATTATACTTGCTTTTGGGGTTTGTTTTTAATAAAGGCTGTTGTTTTAGAGGTATAGAACGTTAAATTAGAATAAAACAAAGACGATTTTTCAAATTGGCATGAAATTGAGTTTATTCAAAAGATAATCTTTTGGCATTATAATTTAAATATGACTTGTGGCATATGACCACCACGGCTGGCTCTGACGTAGTCTAATCTGGAGGTCTCATTTTCGACGACTTTCTCCAATATTTGTGGCCGTATATCGGCAATAACTTGGCGAATGTTATTCTCCACTTGGTCAACCGTTTTAGGCTTATGGCGTCGACTAGCGATTTTTATATTTCCACAGAAAATAGTCTGGCGGTGTTAAATCGTACGATCTTAGAGGAGAGTTCACAGGTCCGAAAGGTAAAACTATGCAGTTACCAAACGTGTCTTTCAATAAATCAATTTTGACACGGGCTGTGTGACATGTTGCGCTGTCTTGTTGAAACCACAGCTTTTGCACATAATGGTTGTCCAAATAAGGAATAAGAAATTCAGTAATCATGGCTCTATATCGGTCACCATTGACTGTAACGTTCTAACCGCATCGTTTTTGAAGAAGTATAAGATCAATGATTTCACCAGCCACAAAGGACAACAAATAGCCATTTTTCTGGAAGTAATGATGTCTCAACACAGAATTGGGGATTATCTTCACTCCAAACATGGCAGTTTTGTTTGTTGACATAGCCATTCAACCAAAAGTGAGCTTCATCGTTAAACAAAATTCGCTTATGAAAATCAGGAGCAACGGAAATCTTGTTTTGGGCCCAATCACAGAATCTACGCCTTGCTAGGTGATCGTGTAGCTTAAATTTTTGCACGAGTTGAATTTTGTAAGCACACAACCAAGATCTTTTCGCAAAATCTTCCATAAAGTGGATGGACACATATTCAGCTTGCTGTGCACGATGGCGGATAGACTAATTCGGGTCTTCCTCTATGCTACGCTCTACATCAACAACAACTTTTTCTGTACGCACTGGACTACGTCTCTGTGGGTGCGTATTATCATTTAGAGTAAACCTGGTGCGAAAACGTTCTATGGTTAATCGTATTTATTGCTCTGATGGACGAATATGTTGACCATAAAATGGACGTAGTGCGCGATACGCATTTTGAACAGAACCATGATTTTCAAAATAAATTTGCACAATTTGAAAGCGTTGTTCAGGCATCAGTCTATTTATGATAAAATTTTAAACCAAACTAAACATAAATTACTTTATAGCTGTCAAAATGGCCGCCAGTTAAAAAGGTGTTGTCAACTTACATTTCTATACCTCTAAAAAAAAACCGTTTATTTACGGTATTTTTATGCCATAACGTTTAAAATTAAACACTTTAAAAAAATCTTTATCAGAAGCAAAGAATGATTATCACCACTTTTACGCAAGGTATATTGTTTTGTTTAGATTGATCAAAATATATTGAAATGCTTTAAAAACCACTTCAAATATATATATATATATATAATATATATTATATATATATATATATATATATACATTATTTGTAGCTAAGTTTGTTGAATAAAAAAATCATTTTGTCATAAATAGTAATTTTAACGCGTATGTTGCAAAACCTAAAGAAAAAACCTCTTCTATAGTTATCACCAGTTTCGTCCAAAGTATAAGACGGTCCAACAAGTACTTAGCCTTACCGCCCAATGGTGCCACTATCTCACTCTACTATCGTGGAAAACATTCTCGTAGACGGCTAATGTCAAAATTTCAGCAAAATCGGACTCGTAGTTTTGTTTTGATCGCGAGTGAAAGCGGGCGTTGCCTCGGATTTTGGAAAAAATGGAAAAAGCGCAATATCGGTCGGTAATTAAATTCTTGTTTTTGGAAGGTAAATCGAGAAGCGAAATCAAAGACCGCCTAGAGTCTGTGAATGGTGACCCTGCTCCTTAGATGACAACCGCAAAAATTAGTATGAGCTACGCAGTTGCACGTCGGTTTTTGATGAGCCACTCCTCGGTGCCTCGAAAATGACTACGGTGATAATGTGGCAAAATCCATGAACTTTAGACCATGATTATCAGACCTCCTACTAGGGATTCGCGGGATAGCTAAGACAGTAGGCTTCTTAAAAGACCGCGTATTTCATATCATGCATGAAATTTTGTACCGGGTGGTCCAATAAGCCGATCTCTCGGCTATATATCAAAAACTATTCATGTTATAACTTTGGGATAAAAAATTCCTTGGTAAAAGTGGCCAAGAGAAATCGCTGGAAATAACTTTAAAGTTTCTGGATTAACCGCTAGGGGGCGTAACCCGTGAAGAAAACTTTGAAAACCAGTTTTTTGTGAAATATGCCCAATTATACCAAGTGTTAAATAAGTAAACTAGAAAGAGACCTCAATTCCGCACAAAGTTGTTCAAATACTTTTTTTTTATTTTTTCAAATAAAGGGTGGGGATGAGTGGGAAACTATTTGTAGATAAATACCTATAACTTTAATTTGGATTAACCGATTTTAAAGAAATTAGTGTCATTAGAAAGAGTGTGGATGAAATAATTTACATCTTTTATAAGAAAAAATTAAAATTTGTTTTTCTTTAAAATGTTAAATGGAAACACCTATTTATTGTAAATTTAAATGGAACTGGATTAAAATCGTAACAAAATGACGCAAACCGCATGTTAATAGCTTTTGTCGAACTCGAGATATGAATAAAAACGCATAAACATAAGTAAGTATAGTATTGACTCACCCTGTATTATAAATTAAACAATAAGACAGTAGGTACTTTAAAAAATTTTTATAGAAGTAGAATCTTAATGTTGATACCTATTTTAAAAATTGTTATTCCATATGATTAAAAATAGTTTTTTCGAAACTAAGTAGGCTACGACAATGAATTTGACGGAGAGTTCATATTGTTTATTTATTGACATCAGTCAAAACATTGTTAAACAGTGCTATATATTATATGCTTATAATTATAATTCGAAATTGAAGATATGCATTTTTCGTGATGAGTATATCAAATGCAGAATTGTATGATATAATTGGAGTTTATTTCGAATGTCACAAAAATGCCGCTATTGCCTCACGTATATATTCTGTAAGATATCCTGAGAGGAGACATTATGCCAAAGAAGTATTTAAAAGAAAGGCAAGAAAATTAATAGAAACTTAGTTATCGTCCTTAAACGACATAGTAGAGGTATGGCCGAAGATAATTCAATCAATGTTCTTGCTTTAATTCAACAAAATTCACATATAAGCAGTCGGCTAATCTCTGTAGAATTAAACATACGAAAAACTACTGTTCTAAGGATTTTAAAACATCACAGGTTGGTTTTTCATATTATAAAGTGAACGTTTAGGTCAGAAACTTGGAATTCTCTTTAAACTTTAGATTCAACTGTTATTTTCATATTCCGATAAAAACGGCAACACGGCACTTTTATCCTTTTATCCGTTTCTTAAAAATACTTATGCACGATTTATCTTGTGAAACAATTGTGGATTTTTCAAGATTTTTTGAGTTTTAGTAAATATAGTGGTTTCTTTTTCACCAATATTTGTTGTTCTGTTTTTTATACTGCATCCTAATTATGTAGTTCTCCACCAAGCTTTACATAAGAGAGATTTTGATGCAAGGCTGGATTACTGCAATTAGATGTTAGGTCTGCTAGAAAAACAACCGCATTTCATGTCAAAGATTTTGTGGACAGACGAGGCTACGTTTAATAATGCGGGTGGTGTTAATCTGCATAATATGCATTATTGTGCTGAAGAAAATCCGCACTGCATACATGAGGTGCAGGTTCAAGGTAGATGGAGTCTTAATGTTTGGTGTGATATAGTTGATGGAAAGATCGTATGTCCATATTTCTTTGATAGAACTTTAAATGGCGAAACATATTTGGATTTTCTGGAAAATCAGTTGTCTGTTTTAAGAACACAAACAAGAAGAGATATGATATTACAATATGACGGGTGTCCTGCGCACTTTTCCAGACGCGTTCGAGATTATTTGTATGCAAGTTATCCAAATAACTGGATTGGAAGGGAAAGTATATTTTCATGGCCAGATAATCTCCAGACTTAGTGTACCAAACTCGACCAACCACGCGAGACGACATGAAACAGCGCATTATAAACGCAATAAATAGTATATCAACAGCTGAGATTGAAGCAGCTGTTATGTCTACGCGCGAAAGATTACAGCTTTGTGTGGACAACGATGGAAAACAATTTAAACATTTAATTTGACATTAAGTTTTAATGATCGAGATATTTGTATGATCTTTCACATATTAATTTAATTTATAATACAGGGTGAGTCAATACTATACTTACTTATGTTTATGCGTTTTTATTCATATCTCGAATTCGACAAAAGCTATCAACATTCTGTTTGCTCCATTTTGTTAAGAATTTAATCCAGTTCCATTATAATTTACAATAAATAGGTGTTTCCATTAAACATTTTGAAGAAAAACAAATTTTAATTTTTTCTATTTGAAAGTACCCTCTATCCATGACAATTAAAACTAAATGTAATTATTTTATAGTAGATATACATTAATTCATCCACACTCTTTCTAATAACACTAATTTCGTTAAAATCGGTTGATCCAAACCAAAGTTATAGGTATTTATCCACAAATACTTTGCCACTCTCCCCTCACCCTTAATTTGAAAAAGTAAATATAAAAAAGTACTTTAACAACTTTGTGAGCAATTTAGGCCTCTTTCTAGCTTACTTATTTAACACTTGGTATAATTGGGCATATTTCACAAAAAACTGGTTTTCAAATTTTTCTTCACAGGTTACGCCCCCTAGCGGTTAACCCAGAAACTTAAAAGTTATTTCCAGCGATTTCTCTTGGCCACTTTTACTAAAGAATGTTTTCTCCTAAAGTTATAACATGAATAGTTTCTGATATATAGCCGAGAGATCGGCTTATTGGACCACCGGGACATAAGAAACCTGTTCGTCGCAGTGGGTGCCACGTTTGCTCATTTCGGGCATTAAGCGCAATTGTGAGTCCACTTTAGAGCAGTGTCTGATGCTATTTAAGCGTAATCCGAAGGAGTTTCTACTTCATTTTGTAACCGTCAAAAAAGCAATTCACTGGTATACACGAAAGACTAAGGAATATTCGAAACAGTGGACGAACGTGTTCCGAAGAAGGCGAAGACTGTCTTATCGGCCAGAAAGGTGGTGGTCACCATTTTCTGAGATTCACAAGGGTGATATACATCGACTACCTGGAAAAAGGCAAAAAGTGCTTTCGCCCATGACAACGCAGCGGCTCATACCTCCGCCATCACCGTGGCGAAATCGGTTAAATTGTGCTATGAACTATTGCCAGATCCACCGATTTTCCAGATTTGAAAAAGGCTGCTTTTAGTAGGATGTCCAAGGTGTTATACAACAGAGACCTAAAATTGGCCTTGTGGATCCGCTTACTTCGCTGCTACGTATTCTTGGTTTTACTTTATAGTGTCGAGTCCTGGACTGTGAATAAAATCCATCTAAATTGACTTGAGGCTTTTGAAATGTGGTGCTATAGAAGAATTTTAAAACTTTCCTGGGTGGAGAAGATAACTCTACAATACTAGAACGTCTCAGCAAGACTACTGAGATCATAAAAAGTATCAAGCAGAGAAAGCTGGAATATTTCGGACATGTAATGAGAGGTCCCAAATATAGGTTGCTACAAAATATTATGCAAGAAAAAATAGCAGGCAAACGCAACCCAGGGCGAAGAAGAACCTCATGGTTAAAGAACTTGCGAGATTGGTATGGTGTTGATACAAGCATGCTATTTAGGGTGGCAGTGAATAAAATTAAGATAGCTATGATGGTAACCAAGGACATGTTATATGAAGAAGAAGAAGACTTCTTTTTGTTTCCAAACTTAAAAAGATATTTATCAGTCAGATATTTAAGTCGGATGAGGAGAGCATCGATGCCATGAAAGCCTACTCCTCAAGAAACCGTATTTTTCAGAGGATTTAAAGAAAGTAGAGTATCGCTGGGTTAAATGTGTTAGGCTAAAGAACATATTAAGAAATAAACCTCTTTTTCTTAAAATTTTCTTTTGTATGCTAAGTGCTTATCAGATCACCCAAGCATATTGAGGTTGACCAAAATATCTTGGTCTAAAAAATACCCGGATATAAGAAAGCAAACTTTCTTTATCTAAATTTCTAGACCAACTAGTTAAACACATACTCCAATCAACTCTATACTATAGACCATGTACGTACAGATTTTGCTTAAAAAATCATGAAAACAATCTAAACACTTATTTATTTTTATATTTTAAGAACAATATTAATACAGAATTTTTAAATACCTGAGGTCCAAGTCGTATACCGGAAGATTAGTTTTTTCCTCGGTGTTTTTTGCTTCAGGTATTTTATCACTTCCTTTATTTGATTCTGGTTTAGGAATCTTACCATCATCAACTTCGACAATTTCGATCCTTGTTTCCTTTCCTTTGTTCTTTTTGGAGGAATGTTTATTCTCGTTAGTTTTCTTTACTTTCATGATGTAGGTATCTAAAACAATATTTATAAACATATTATATATATATATATATATATATTGTTAATCGTTGTTATAAAACAACAACGATAAACAATATAATAATATATAATGGTGATCAAATGGTTGGATTCTGGGTCTCTGAGGTAGTCGAAATTCTGACCGCATGTAAACTCTGACTAACGCTGACAGTCTACCGAAGACACTCCGACAAAATCTCACTCATGTGGCCGAAAGAATAAGTTGCGTCACCACTGGACAATGTACAATGCACAATAGGTGTGTGGGGGTTTGTGTAACAGGAGAAGATGAAAGGCGAACTATCGGCGCCTTTAAATAACTGCGACTAAGGGGGACAAGCCCTACATAAAAACCTAGCTGAGGATTGGTAACCTGCATTGGGAAATATTACTTATTCACTAAAAATCTATAAGTTTCTCCAGACTAATCTCATGAGAAAAGACTAAGGCTACTTAAGGATAAACGACTTGTAATAACGTAAAGATTAAAAATAGCGATATGAAACGTACAAGAGTTGGGTCAGAACTAACAGGAGATTAACAAACAATTGAAAAAAGAAAGCTTAAAAAAACTCCTTCCATCGATCTCTATCCTAAGCTTTATAGTTCTAAATTTGTTTCGGTTATTTTCTTAATGTCATCTAGCCATCTCATCTCTGGTGGTCCCCTTAATCATCTACATCTGTAGGGTCTCCAATGCTGTATTCTGGCATTTCAACGATTGCTCTTTTTTGTCTGACAGTATGGCCTGTAAAGCTCTATTTAAGTTTGGCCATTTTGTGCTTTTGATTTTGATCTTACCCAGTCGTTCCTTTTCTATCTGAGAATCGTATACCTACCATTTCCCTTTCTGGTTCTGTGACTAGTTTGCATATTTGTCTTAGGGTCTATGTTAGGCATCCATATGTTAGGATGGATGCCCTGGTTGAATACTTTTCTTCTCAAATATTGAGGTATTTTGCGGTTTCTAAGTATCCAAAGGAATTTTTTAAATGCTGTTCATGCCAGTCGTCCTCTTCCAGTGTCAAAGTTTTCTCTGTCAAGTTTTGAAAATTTGTAGTAGTAGATATGCAAAAAATCTGTTAACTAAGTGCAGTATGAAAATTTAACCGTAGACAGTCACAACTTTAGTAAATATAGTTTGGAACAATCGTGTTTAGTGTCACTGATCAACAGTAATTTAACTGTCTAAATTTATGTGCTTCGGTATCCTGAAAAGCAAACTCCTAATACTCATACTTTTATAAATGTTGTTTAAAAATCATTAGAGATGGGTTCTGTTCTAACAAAAAGAAAAAAAAAATAGCAGAAGAACAAGAAATATTCGTCGATTAAATGTAGAAGACAACATTTTAGATACTGTGGAGAATAATCCAACTGTTAGTACATGAACGGTGGCTAAAATTGTTGAGATGTAAAAAAATGTTGTTCTTAGAACATTTCGGAAACAACTGCTACATCCATATACCACTTTTAGGGAGTACAATATTTACACCAAGGTGATCTTCCCCAAAGATGAACATTTTGAAGGTGATTTTAAGTTAAACTCGTCAGAAAACCTGAATTTCCATCTTAATTCGATATAATTTTCATAATTGCGACATATAGGGTGACCAGAACCCTTATTTTATACGTATAACAAATTTTCAACGAAAATTAAGCACGGAACAGTTTGGAATAATTAACAATCGTTTAATAGGACCATATGAATTACCCAGAACAGTAAATGGAGAGGCCTACTATAGTTTCTTGCAAAATGTTTGGTCGGTACTTGTTGAAGACGTTCCTCTGCAAACACGCTGTGAAATGTGGTTAACTATTCTCTGTGATCATGCTTTCAGAAGTACATCTGTTTTCCCAGTTTTTTAACGATTATACAACCGACACATGCAGCTGCTCTTTTGTCTTGCGATTCTATAAATTACGGTATGATTATTTTCCATTTTTACTATTCCTTGTTCTTTTTAATCGTCTCTGATATTAATAGGATAGAAAATTAAAAATAAAATATTAGAACTTAAGTGTTTTCCCAGACAGCACCAGTATATATAAATGATTTAAATGGTAACTACAATTACTAATTATTAATTAAATGAATAAATATTCCGAGATATTAACAAAATAAATAACCGGCAATAAAAAATACAATAATAAAATCTACTAAACAATGTCAACAACTAAAATGACGTGCTGTTGCTAATGTGAATACATAGTATTGATGTTAAAAATTAATTAAAAGCAGACATTTTTTGTGTGTCTTAATAAAACATTAAGTGATTTCTGAAGAAAAAACTGTTATTACGTATAAAGAGTTATGGGGTGACGTGTAGTAAATGTCTAGAGACATAATACGGCTTTATACACAATAACAAAAAATACAAATCTATATAGCTATATTTTCTTGTGACACTATACTTTTTAGCACAAAATATAGAGCGGTAAAACGAGTCTAAATTACAATAAATGTCTATAATATGCAATATATAATGTCCGGTTCATAGCTTCCTGCACCTTTCGTTTCCTAGTCCATCTCCATCCACGCCTATCGGTCCAATCTCCTTGATCTCGTTGATCTCTCTCAGACACTGCCTTTTGGATTACATCAAGTCATGTTGTTTTTGATCTTGTTCATTTTTTTGCTTGGGGGGTTGACAATCAATATTAATTTGACCAATATAAGTTTAAATGTTCGAATAAATGAACTTTGATGGTACACAAGGCAAATATCGAACACAGTAGTACTACTGTGTTCGATATTTACCTTGTGTACCATCAAAAAAAAATATTAATTTGGTTAATATTAATCATTGGTTGATATTGGTTGGTAATCAATATTAACTGGCGATGGTCTGTCACTATATGTACATGTTCGTGCCAATTAAGGTGTTTTCGTAGCATTTCTTCTATGATAGTGGATGTTCTGTTCGTAACTTGTGTTATGAATTTAATTGTTACTTGCATAATTATGGATATACCTGCTGATCTGTACCAAAAATCTCTTTCCAGAATAAGAAGTTTAGTTCCGATTGTGGCATTTTACTTTCACCGTTTAGTTTCACAACTGTTTATAATATACAACTTCTCATTTTTTGACCTTTGTTCCACCTAGGTAGTTACTCAGGAAATAAACAACAATTTATCGGTCGGAAACTGGAAAAATTTTCGTTTGTTGGGACCAGAACAAACCCATCGTTTGTTGGGACTGTGTTCTGTGTCAAAGGATTTGATAATAGCATCCTGAGGGCTAAGTGGGTCGACATGGACTTAAGTGGAAGATAAGCAGCCAAGTTTAAGGAATCACATATTTTTATCATCCAGGATAACCTCAAGTCCAGTTGTGGTATTTGATCCAGATTTGTCTCCCATGAGTCAGATCTATATTTATTTGAAAGTTAATGGAACAATAGTTTTTTATTCAAATCTAAATTATTCATCAAACGATACAACTGATGAACATGCGCATTAAAAAGGTACAAGTAGTTTCGTGACGGTTTCCCGACCGTACAAAAATTGCGTGTTGGAACAAACCTATTGTCTGGTTTTTTTACTTTTTCGGTATAGTCATGAATGTTAATGGAAGCCATTCTTTAGGTAATATACCTGTTCTTTATGTGATATATGATAATAAATACTTCGATAATAACATGTATACTGCAGTCGGCGATAAGTTGCATATTTCTGTCGGTATTTCGTCTGGTCCTACGATGGTACTGGTCTCTTTCATTATTAATACCAAAATATTTGTCTTAATAATTGTATGAACGTTGGTGGATATGATTTTAACCATTTCATTAAATTAATTAAATTAAATTTAAATATTAGTTGATGTATACTGTTTTAAATTATGAATTTATTAATTTAAAAATTAACTTTCTTTTGTTTACGTTACATTTAAGAAAGTTTTCTATTAATTTTGCAAATTTCATTTTAGTGTAGTTTTTGACGTGATGAAAAAAATTTCCAATTTTGGTCTGACTTTCAATAGATACTTTTTCACAAAAAGAGTTAACATCTAAAAACTCATAAATACATGAATTTTCCAACGAAATACATGTATAACAAATTTGTAATAGGTGATATGCTATTGCTTATTTAACTTAAAGATTTGTGGTACTGAAAGGAAGGATGTTGACAAATGATAGATATCTATATTGTTAAAAGATTTTCTTTGGAATAAAAATCACACTGTTTTCACAAAATCCAATAAATATTGCAAAATATCAGGAAGAACTCTTTTATATTGCTATATAAATTAATTATCTTCCATATTTAGATAATATACATATTTAGTTTTAATTACAAAATAAATAACTGCAAAGTTAATTTGGTTTACCTGGGACTTGATTCTCTGGAAATTTATTTTCTTCCCTCATATAAGTTTGCACATCTGGTGGAAGTAGACCTTGTCCAATTAACCTTTGCCTTTTTCTTAACCCTCTTCTAGAAGTTCCCGAATACAATCTACCATTGTAACCCTCAGGACCAGCGTTTCCATTTAAACCCGCTACAGCACCGGGTCCTTGTAATGCAGTAGCTCCTGCATGTATATATGTTTACGTTACATTTAATAAAGTTTTATATTAATGTAGCAAATTTCGGTTTAGTGTAGTTTTTGACATGACGGGAAAAATTTTAAATTTTGGTCTAAGACTTTCAATAATTTTTCAATAAATACTTTTTTACAAGAACAATTAACATTAAAAAAATTATAAATGCCTGAATTCTCCAGCGAAATACCCGTTTAATAATGTGCAACACGTGATATATTCCATGGTTAAAATTTAAGATTTGTGGTACTGGAAGGAAGGGTGTTGACAAATGATAGATATCTGAATTGTTAAAAGATGTTCCTTGGAATAAAAATCGAACTATTTAAACATTTCCCAAAAATCCAATAAATATTGTAAGATATCAGGGAAGACTCTTTTGTATTGATATATAAATGTAATTATCTTGCATATGTAGATACGATATTTAGTTTTGATTACAAAATAAATAAGTTTACCTGGGACTTGATTCTCTGGAAATTTATTTTCTTCCTGTACATCAGTTTGTACATCTGGTGGAAGAAGCCCTTGTCCAATTACCCGTTGCTTTATTCTTAACCCTCTTCTAGAAGTTCCGGAATACAATCTACCATTGTAACCCTCAGGACCAGCGTTTCCATCTAAACCCGCTACAGCACCGAGTCCTTGTAATGCAGTAGCTCCTGCATATAGGCCTCCTCCTGATCTACCTTTAAAATACATTATCATTATTATTAATAGTTAAATTACAACAAATCTGTCAGAATATATCATATTTTTTATGGTATGTATTTTTAAAATATTTTTGATAATTGGCCGTTTACAATAAATCGGTTAAAAGTCCTTATCAAACCTAAACTTCTGATTCTAACTGACATTCAACTAACCTCCAAACTGACGAGAGAATGAAATGTATATTTGAGTAATTTTTCAAGATTACCTTACTCTTCTTTTTATTTCTTTCGATGTTTTTAATCGTTGTGTTTGGTTTACTTATGTTTTTATCAGCAGCGTCACATAATTCAAGTATATTTTATTAGCGTCACACAAGTAATATCGGTAAACTGCTTATCTATTAAAACTTGTCGTCTCTACTAGATCTTTCCTCATGCGGTTAAATTAGGCCTAAGGTCTTATATACTTTTATTACTATAAAGTCAAGGTGTGAGAGACCGTGCCGACGAATGAATGGCCACACGATACGTGGTCGAGAACGGAATCCCTCAGGGTACCAGGCGACACCCTGTTGCAAACTAGCCTTAGCAGGGTAAGGGCACACTGCCCTGCCGGACTATTTTTTCGGCCCTACTCGTGGGATATAAATGAGGAAAAATAAAACTAAAAAAGAAAAGATTAGAAAGGTAGAGGAAGAGGGAAGAGAGAGTGAACCCTTGGGTGAACCCTCTCCGTCTACAGAGGCGGAGGGAGCTCTCCTGGAGGGATAGACAGAAGTTAGGGTAGGAGTGACACAGAAATGTCCTCACGTAATCGGTGAGGAGCGAGGATCCGAAAACGACTTAGTCGATCTACCGACGACCGAGTCGGACCGATCCGAATCTGAAAGTAGCTGTAGCGGACGGTCCACCAATTGGACAGTGGCCGATAGAAAGCGAAAAAGGAAATCTCATGCGCGGACTAAGGAAGTCCCCGGAGAGGATCACCCACGTGCGGATCTGGAAAAGATGGATAGAGATATAGCCAAACTAAAGGCGGCCGTATTTGAGGTGTTGGACCTAACAAAGGTCCACGTAAATACTAAAGTGGAGATAAAGTCCGATGTCAGAGGATTATCAAATCTGATTTACAAGTTAGAAAGGGATATATCCCAGTATAAAGCGGCGTTGACAAAAGAACCCCGTAAGTCAGCCAAGTGTGCCAGACGACTATCGGCACACAGACCGATGTCACCATGATTAGATATGCGACGAAAAACACGGGTGTGCAGGTGTCCCCCTTAGAGGATCCTGTGGAAATTGAACGCTGCGTCCAGAACATTAGGACCAGAATGGCAGCAAGCAAAACCCCTGAAGAGATCACTGATCTCCTCAGCGAGGATTGGCCGGAGGCCTTGTTTACCAAGGTTTCTGTTATGGAGGGCAGCCCCCTCGACTCTAACAATGATGCAACTGTGTATATTTCAGCCGACCAGTCTGATGAGAAGGCGCTGGGGCGCTTCAAAGAGAGGTATCCAGACCTTGTGGCTACTCCGGTAGTTGAGGACGAAGAGGGTGGAGTTGGCACAATGTTCAATTCAGTGAGCTTGGTTGATGGTGATGGGACGAAGGATTTGCTCCGAACTTTACATCCATAAGCTCATACCTAACAACATGAACGTACCTGAAGCGGTCAGGTTCTTAGCGATGGACCGTAAACTCTTGTATAGGATGAACGAGTTAGGAAGGAAGAGCGTTGGGCTCTTTGTTCCGATGTGCCTGGAGACAGACCTTACCCGAAAGCTGCTGGAATGGGCTGCTGAGGGTAAAGAAGTTAAGGCTACGGTGTATGGACCAAATAAGAGCTGGGCAAGTACGGTCAAGCCCAGAGAGAGCAAGGGTGTTGTAGTACTAACTAAGGCGAAGGACAAGTCCTTCGATGAACTACTTGGTGAGCTACGCACAGATCTGTGCGGCAGGAGTGACGTCGTCGTTAAACGTCTTAGGCAGACTAGGGACCAGGGCATTGTCCTGGAGCTGGGAGGAGGAAGAGATATGGCAGAGACGGTAAAGGGCATTGTCTCTGCTAGACAGGGCACCGTTATAAGAGCAGTGGCGAAAGGTGGTACAGTCAGGCGTGAACTTTTTGTAAATGGAGCGGACGGCCTGACCAAAGATAGCGATATTATCAGCGCAATTGAGAGTTTTGCGGGACGGAAGGAGGTCTGTCAAGTCAGAGGACCTCTCCGTAAGGCATACGACGGAGACCTTAACGCCACAGTTGAGGTCGATGAAGACATTGTAATGCGCCTTATACGAATAGGATCTCTTAGGGTGGGATTTATATCCTGCACAATTAAAGAAATAGTCCGCATCGCCAGGTGCTACAAGTGCCTGGAGTACGGACACCGTAGGTCCGAATGCAAAAACGAAGAACTCAAGGGATGCATCCGGTGTAGCGCAGAGGGTCACACTGTGAACGAATGCCCAGAAGAAGGATACAAATGTATCAATTGCAAAGTCACGGGACATCGAGGAAACTCGATGGAATGCCCGAAATTTCGCCAACTGGTCAACACGGCCAGGGGAGAAAAAGTAAAGAGAACTCAGTCCTAGGACTGGAGCAGTCAAATGCGTGTGTCAGTGGATACGAGAGTGAATGCGACTGTGCGCATGTGTATGTGATAACTATTGTTATGTGTATCCAATGGCTTCCAGAATGCAGAGACCAGAATTTGAAGATACTCCAGACTAACGTGGGCACGGCGAGATTAGCACATAATCTCGCCGTGGCTTTCGCTTCGGAGGGAAATTTCGACATACTAGTCGCAGCAGAACCAAACCCTACGCTGGTTAAGAACCGCGGATGGATCGTAGATGCATCAGGTAGGGTCGGCATACATTTCTGTAACAGACGCTTACGTGTGTATGAAGTTGTTAGACATGACGGATATCTGATCGCAAAGATGGAGAGAATGAATCTGGTCTGTTGCTATATTTCCCCGAATATAGCAATCGGCGCGTATGAGAATAAGCTGGATGAGATCATGAATGAAGTGAGAAGATTAAATCAGGAGTGTGTGGTACTAGGAGACTTCAACGCGAAATCTGCGGAATGGGGTTCTCCAATCACCGACACTAGAGGTCAAATGCTGAGCGAATGGATTGGAACACTGGACTTTGTCGTTCTCAACAGAGGTTCAGAACCCACGTTTGTGAGAGGCAATTCTGTAACAGGCTCGTATATCGACGTTACTTGCGCGTCTCAACGTATATCTGGCTGTGTAAACGATTGGGCGGTGCTGCAAACCTACACGGGCACGGAACATCGCTACATTGGATTCTCTATACCCGGGATGGGCGTAGCTACTAGAAACAGTACATCTCGGGGCCCGGGAGTCCGATGCGGAATGCAATCTACTAATTGGAGAGTGTATGATGAGAGTGTCAGATGGGAAGTGGAAATAGTTCGAAACCAGCCGCCCTCGGCGGATGGGCTAGAACAAGTGATAAAAGGTGCAATGAGGGCCAGTAAGATAGACCCACAAAGGGTAAGGATAATGCCTTACTGGTGGAATGCTGAGATTGCGAATGCTAGGATAGAATGTGTGGCCCTCCGTCACAGGGTACAGCGTGCAAGGAGACGTAGAGCAAATGCTGATGAGGTGCTGCAAATGGAAAATGAATGTCGTGCACAGAAGATGGTACTAAATAGGCTCATTCGCTCTAGTAAAAAAGTATGCTGGAGACGTCTGTGCGACGAGCTAGATGAGGACGTATGGGGTCAAGGTTATAAAATTGTAATGAAGCGCTTTGACGCGTACCCCCTATACAGAAATGCCGCTGGATAAGAAACTCTCGGTAACACGAAAGCTCTTTCCATCTGGCGAATGGCACGGAGTGCGGAGTGATGCGTTTGTTGAACAAGCTGAAGCCTTCTCCCTAGACGAACTCGATGAATCGTTGGGGGCCCTTAAGCACCGTAAGGCACCGGGCCTAGATGGGATACCGCCTGAGGCAATTAAACGCCTGGGCCTACTGGAGCCTGCGTGGCTCCTGGGCCACATGAACGCTGTTCTTGTGCGACAGAGCTTTCCTGCAGACTGGAAAACATCGAAATTGATTCTCCTGCCTAAAGGAGAGGACAAATATCGACCTATTTGCCTCCTATCTTGTATTTGTAAACTGTTTGAAAGACTGCTGAGCGGGAGAATTGATGAAGCAATTGAGAGGTCTGGAGGCTTATCCTCTAGACAATATGGTTTCCGTAAGAATGTTAGCACGACTGATGCAGTGCTGGGAGTTTACCGAGCGCTAAATATAGAGGCCCGCGACCAAAAATGAGCTGCATTGCTCTTACTAGACGTTAAAAACGCCTTCAATTCCCTGCAATGGGAAACAGTGATGAGAGCGGTTGAAGATAGAAACTTTCCTGGATACTTGAAGAACCTTATCTCAGACTATCTATCTGAGAGAAGAATCCTGGTTGAAAAGGGTGTGATTGTGGATGTTACGGCTGGGGTGCCACAGGGGTCCGTCCTTGGACCAAAGCTATGGAACCTGGCATATGACGGGGTTTTGCGGCTTGAATACGGAGAGGGGGTCACTCCCTTCGCATTCGCGGATGACCTTGCATTGCTGGTAGTAGCACGGGATGCGGAAGAACTTCTGTACAAAGCACGGAGTGCATGTGACCTTGCAAGAGATTGGATGAGTGAGCGTGGTCTGAAACTTGCTGAGGAGAAAACCGAGGCCGTGATACTTAAGGGACCACGGAAACGCGAGAATGTTATATTTGAGTGCGGTGGATCGAAGATCACACGAACAGACAGAACAAGCCTGTTACGCGTAGCAAGCGCCTATAGAACTGTTTCTGCAGCAGCATTGTGGGTCATCACTGGCTGCATGCCCTCTCACATCTTGGCATGCGAGAGGACCCGTTCATTTCATCGTGCTCGTAACACTGGTGTGACTGAGAGTGCAAAATGTGAAGAGAGAGTGGCTCGAATGTGGACACCGGCGTTAAGATTATTTCCTGATGCAGGTTCTCACGGGCC